ACAGCTGTTAACACAGGCCTTGAGAAACTACAGAGTGAAGTGCACTTCCATTTCCCATGTCAGATTTTTGAGTTTCACCCATAGATGTTCTGCAGTGAATTGAATAATAGCTTAAAGCAGTACATCTAATTCCATCCTAGCAACATAAAATCCTCTAAACTTGACTATTTTGAGCCCTTTTCATTATTTCCCACATCAATTCTCCTGAATTAAAATTAAAGGCAACTGAATTCTAAATAACTGCTCTTCCTAATTTCTTATATGGCCCATTCTCCTCACCAGAATGCACTTGCTTAAGTGTTTTTGTGACTCAAGGTAGCTCTTTCAACATCTGCAGACTGAGCTGTCTTCCATTGGAATGGGTTTAGTTAGTGTAGCAATTCCAAAGCTGAATTTCTCCAGTTTTAAGGTAGTTGAAAGGTGGCTCAAGGTTTAGGCCTTGAAATGTCAAAGGGCCCTACTATGTTTAAAAGTAGCACATCACTTTCTCTACCCCCACAAACCTGAAAAGATACAAGCAAATCTCCCATCTCTATAGTACATTGTGTAGATGTTAATAGATTACTATAGAGTCTAGTCTACATTATTGTTTCCACCCCAAAACAATAGAAACCTTGTTTCTGGGAAACAAGGTTTCCAAGGAAAACATGAGAAAAACAGATCTCGGCTTTGGCTTTAACAGTTTGCCATTAGTGTTGCTACCTTCAGATGGTCAAACTCAACTCATCTGGGAGAATCACCCACCAAGAGGCTAGTCATAACACTACTCTTACCATCTATAGGAAGATATTTCATCTGTGTGTATTGATGCTTCTCTGGCATGACACTCTTGAGCAAATATTAGAAATTTTCCAGGGTGATAGATGCAGCCACCAGCTCCCTTAGAGTTTCCTTTCTCTCCCTTTTGTCCAATTCTGCACATTTATAGCTTAATTTTAACTCGTTTTTTGAACCCTGTGTTCCTGGCAACTGAGTACTGAATGACTGAGCTCTGTCTGGTGACAGCCTTCCCTTTTGAGAGAAGAGTGTTCCACATTTGTAGCAGGCACTTTTACAAAGCATAGTTTGCAGCTGTTCTTACGATCCTATCCTGGTGAGACATTCCTTATATCTGTGAATCTTGTCTCTTAGAGGAGTCTTGCCTCTTTTCTTTTCACCTCCATTTCTTTTAGCTGGAGAATGACCTGTAACAGATTCCTTTAATGCCTATAGTTCCATAGAACCAATGTGACCTTCACCATTTGAATTTTCTAAGCCTTGCAAACTCAGTAGCAGCAGACATATTCCTCTTTCCTATTTGTACCAAAATGGACTATGTCTCTAGTCTCATTTTCCGCTGTTACACATTTGTTCCTTTTAATGTCCCCCCAGCTGACTTGTTAATCTGCTTAAGTTGGTTCTTTTTCTTTCTATCATGTGAATTTAACATTGCATAGGTAACAATACCTTCCTCCTTTTTTCTTTCTTTTTGATTTGGAGCTGAGCTGTTTGTTTAATTGATGTACTTCTTCCTTTAATGCCTTTCTTTTTTATTTTGCAATAATGGGGCTTGAACTCAGGGCCTACACCTTGAGCCATTCTACCAGCCCTTTTGTGTGAAGGGTTTTTTCAAGATAGGGTCTCATTAACTATTTGTCTGGGCTGGCTTTGAACCACAATCCTCCTGATCTCTGCCTCCTGACCAGCATCTGGCTAATGCCTTTCTTAATTGAGTTTTTCACAGTGGAAATAAGAGGTCTGTGTCTGGGATTAAAGTTACTGCAAGACTTTACTACCTAGAAATGTGATCTAGTGCACTTCCTTAGAGTCTTACCTCCACAAATTCCTAGGTACGTTCTCCCATAGCATGTGTCAGTTCTGCCTTCATACCAATATCACCTTGAAAATTACTTAATAATGCCAGAAAGATTCTTCTTCCTTTTCTCTTTTCAAATCTATTTGAACTTTTATAATCATGCATATTATTCCTAGTCTGTAAGGAAAGTCCTCTGATTTAAAAAAAAAAATCATTAGCTTCAAAAGTAATCTTAAAATAGACATGGATGGCTTATACCTATATTCCTAGTTACTTAAAAGACTAAGATTGGGAAGATTGTGGTTCATGGGCAGCCCAGGCAAAATGTTTGTGAGACTCCATCTCAGTGGAAAAAAAGCTGGGTGTGGTGGTATGTATCTGTCATCCCAGCTATGAAGGGAATCTTAAAATACAGGAATCATGGTCCAGGCCAGCCTGGGCAAAAGTGAGATCGTATTTCCAAAATAACCAGAGCAAAAAGAGTTGGAGGTGTGGCTCAAGTGGTAGAATGCCTGCCTAGCAAGTGCAAAGCTCTGAGTTCAAACCCCACTACCACCAAAAAGAAAAAGAAAAAAGTAACCTTACAAAGTTTTCCTAGATCCAGGCTCTTTTGGAGAGAAGTATTTTAGTCTACTACTGAACTCCTTCTCAAGTCCTATTTAGTCCATACTTCCTTAAATAAATAACAGAAATACCTATTTCCCCCCCTTTAGTCCCATCAGTTAAAGGGCAATTATGCCAAACTGTGTGTCTTTTTCCCTGTCAAAGCTGTTTGATCTAATTTGCCGTGTCTCTCTTGAGGAAGGAAATCTCCCTTTTCTTCTACCTTAATCTGGTATTTTTCTTTCAATTGCTTTATTCAAATTATATATGTGTTTAAGTCCAATCCTATTTCTCTTTTCTTTTCTGAACAAACATAATTCCTAGAGAGGCCTTTTTAACTTTTCTTTTAGACTTCAGGTATATTATGGCTCTATTGAGACTTTAATACTAAGTCAGTCCAAGAAGATGATTTGCCACATATAGTAAGAACTCCATTTCTCTTCATCTTTTCAGTGATTTAAATCCATCACTCAATTATAGTCGAATCCACAGTCTATTCAGAGATCTACACAGCCAACTTAGAATCACACTGGGAGGGACTGATTGCAGAACCTTGTTGACAAGCCACATAAATGCAAATGTTAGTCATTCTTCTATCCCCTCCTTGGAATATGATGAAGAATAGAATTTGAGGCAGTTGATTACATGTCTCCTCCTAATGGTAGTACATATTGTTAAATGCTGGAACCCCCAGTGAGGAGGCAAAAAGAGCATTAGCTATTATATATTATCAAACTGCATGTAGTTTCTAAGCACTAGCCTGTAGGCCTTTATCAACATAATAATTAGGTATAAAAGTTGTAAAATACTAATGTAGTAAAACACTCAAAATTTGTAAAGAGCTGTATTCACTAAGCTTCTAAGCCATTATTGAGATTTGTGAGTGTTAACGTTTTGTTTTGTTTTGTTTAACTCTCAATATATTGTTCACTTCATATTCCCAGAGTCTTAGTGCTTAAGACATTGTAGACATGAAATTTTTATAATCCTAACCTGTACATTATATCTTTAACTTCATTAAGAATATTTTATTTGACAAAAACCACTATTTTTTCCTTGAAATTCATCTATAAGGGTTACAGTAAATTTTTTTTTTTAACAGTGGAAGTGAGACTTTAATGGCAACCTTGTAAGGTTGGTGCCTGATGAACAGAGACCACAGCAAACTTTAAGGAATGTTTTAAATGAGAACTGAGGATACGGATCTAGTGGCAGAGTGCTTGTATAGCAAGATTGAGGCCCCGAGTTCAATCCCCAGTACTGAAAAACCAGTAATTTCTAAATCAGTATAATAATCAATGAATTTTTTAAGTAGTAAATTAAAATTTAATAACTAAAAATGGTAAATCAATATACAAGAGAGACACTTGCACACCCATGTTTATTGAAGCACTATTCACAATAGCTAAGCTGTGGAATCAACCTAGGTGCTGAACAACTGATGAGTGAATAAGGAAAATGTGCTATATATTTATAGTGACGTGAATATATAGGATGTATATATTCTATATATTTATAGAATGAAATTTTGCTGTTTGCAGGAAAATGGATAGAACTGAAGATCATCATGTTGAAAGAAATAAGCCCAACTTGAAAAGTCAAATGTTGCATATTTTCATTGATATGCAGAATCTAGACTCATAATAGTAATAATAATGGGACATGAGTGTAAAAGGGAGACTGGGAAGAATCAGCTGGAGGGGGAAGAGGAAAAGGTTATAGGAGGTGAAAAGGACTGAAGAACATTATGCATATTAATCTACCAAATACCGTTTGAAAAAGAGGGAGAGGAAAGGAACCTAAAGGCATATAACAGAGGGGGTGAACTTTTTCAAAGTACACTGTACGCATCTATGGAATTATCACAATGAGAAATGCCCTTGTACTATTAACGTATGTTAATTAAGAAAACAACCATTTTTTCACTTTTTTAAATTGTTTTCTCTTGACCTGCCTTCTTTCAGCAGCCTAGAGTGACATGACACCACTTTGGCCTTGGCGAGAAATTACAATTTAAAACTGACTGTTGTCCAGCTTCTATCAGAAGTGTGTTTGAGAGAAGAGTTATTTAAGGAAAGATTGCCGAAGGGACATTCAGTTCATCCACTGTATATTCTACATTGTGCCTGTTTCAGTTGAAACCTATGAAGGCTACTTTCTTGGGAAATGCAGTGTATGATCTGGATTTTATCAACGTTAGATAAATATAAAACAGATTGATATATTTGAATAATTGTCAAGGGCATTGGTATTGTGTCATTTAATTTCTACCAGAAAATATCACCATAAGAAATACCTTAGAATTGATGTCAGGATAAAAGATTTGGCTTCCCTGAAGGATTCGTAGACTTGTTTGCTGTTGAATATGAGGAACTTTTTTTTTTCTTTTGAATGTTGGGAAGCTCAGTGCCAGTTTTGGTACTGCTTGACAGCCAACTCTTTGGTCCTTCTTGACTATGTCTTATATACAGATTCTATGCTAGAAAAAGACTAGATTAAAATAGAAAATAGTGATAAACCATTTGGTAAGTCACTGCTGTATGTGTAGTGCTAACTAGGCCTTATGAGCTCCTTTTAATTTAAACATTTTTCTTTTGATTAGAAAACATTGTGTGATGTGATCCTCATGGTCCAGGAGAGAAAGATACCTGCTCATCGTGTCGTCCTTGCTGCGGCCAGTCATTTTTTTAACTTAATGTTTACCAGTAAGTATTTTAAGGTAAAGCATGCTATTGTTTTCTCTGAGAATTAGGTGGGGTTTAAGTGAAAATGGGCCAATTTTTCTAGTTTTTTAAAGCATTTTAGAATTTAAGGCTATAGAACAGTGAAGACATTGAAAAGTGGTCAGATGATTACAGATCAAAGGAAAAATATTCCTTCATTAGCCCTAAGGGACCATTGCCTTGGTGATAAAGATACAGCTTCTACCTGAAATGCCTTCTTAACTTCAGGTGGAAAGAAAAGAGTAGAAATATCTCATGACATTATATATTTACCAAGTTATGCTAAAAAAAGAAAATATAGCATATTGTAGTAGAAAGAACCCTAGATATGGAAGGTGAGAACTAGGTCCAAGTCCTGGTTTCTATATTTAGTACTGTTTTATGATCTTAATCAGATTAAATAATGTATCTGCCTCAAGTTTTCTCTTTGGTGTTCTAGCTACCTATGAGGATTTCTAGGAGAAATGAGAATTTTGTATGCAGTAGATAGCTATATAATTAATATTGTCCTCATAGGTTTATTTCAGCTATATCAGAGGCGTTTTGCTCATAGTAGTCTAAGAGTGCTACTAAATTATTTTAGGAATTGGGAAATCCTAAATCTAGCATAGATGCTCTAGTTCGTCGGTCAAACTTTTGGTAGTTCTGATGCTATTTATGTTTCTTCTCTTGATTTTAGCTAACATGCTTGAGTCAAAGTCCTTTGAAGTAGAACTCAAAGATGCTGAACCTGACATTATTGAACAGCTTGTGGAATTTGCTTATACTGCTAGGTGAGTTAAGAGTTATTTGTGTTTGAGAGGAGTAATGTTGGGATCTACCATAGCAGAGCATTATTGTAACAAATTCTAGATCCTTTAGAATGAAAAACTAAAGATGGAGGCGTTTGAGGGCCCTATGCCATATGAGGGTATATTTACAGTAGTAGTAAAATAATAAAAAATGTGAAATTAATGTTCACTTTAACTTATTTGCAGAATTTCTGTGAATAGCAACAATGTTCAGTCTTTGTTAGACGCAGCAAATCAGTACCAGATTGAACCTGTGAAGAAAATGTGTGTTGATTTTTTGAAAGAACAAGTTGATGCTTCAAATTGTCTTGGTAAGAAATAACAGATTCTTGGTTTTTTTTTTTTTTAATTATCATTGTGTATTTTAATAAAGAAAAAAAACATGGTGATAAGAATCCTTTTAAACCTCCAGCTGATGCTTTAAAGAAAAAAAAAAAAAGAATCCTCTTAACCTTAAAGATGTGGTCCATTAGAAAACTTCTAGACTATATGATCACTTTTAGAATGAGTTTTCATATATCAAGGACAAGAACAAGCATTTCATTTATTGGGGGTATGGTATATGATAAACATGAATGTTTCCTTTTATTTAAGTACTGTGGTGTGCTAAATTCTGTCATAGATAAGAAACAGGTCATGTTTGTAACTTGCCTGAAGTCATGTAGTCATTACATGAAGGATCTGGGATTGGCATGCTGTCTCCTCCATGTTGTCAAACATACTGATTTGTACTAGGAAACATAAAAATCCTAAATTATAAATTAAGATGCTAGTTCAGAAACTGATAGAGCTCTTCATTTTGAAGCTGTTACTCAAGTATTTTGTATTTGATGATGAGAGGTAGTCTCTGATAAAGTCTATCAGTGTTTTCCAGAGAATGATATGCTTCTGTTGAGATGATCTGTAATGGCAATGAATGAACATCTGATTGTTACAATTACATTTTCATAGCCTTACTCTATTTTAGAGACTTTAGGGAAGGGTATAGTGCTAGAAAAGCAAGGAAGAAAGAAAATTGGAATTAAGGAAAAAGAGCAGTCTAGGAATCTAGTCAATGCTACTAAGATCTTTGACCCAGGGATGATGTTGACAAGAAGGCAAAGGAAGGGGTAAAGGGCTCCTGGAGATGCTTGACAACTTTTGCAAGCCTCCTCTGTCCACTCTTTTCCGAGGCTTCCCTTGGAAAGAACTGGGAAGGCAAGGAAAAAGGAAGCAGAGTAATTTCAGAGAAGAAGAAAAGCCAGGCAAATGGGATTAAAATGAGATTTGGCCTAGTATCCAGAGAAAAATTGGACTAGATGGAGCAAGGGGAAACAGGTTGGCAGGTGAACATACTGATGGAACCTTTAAAAAGATAGCTGTGGTTCAACATAGTAAAAAGATCCCCATAATAGGAAATAAACAACTAGTCTCTTGTCCCATCTATGCAATAGACATTCTGGGGTGGGACTCCATCTCTCTGGGCTATAGTTTGAGACTCCTTTCATCAACGAGCTTTATATTCCTAAGATTTAAATTTATTTCCCATATATATTATCACACAGTGTATTTAAAGAAGTTTGTGGAGATGATGGCTTAAGTGTATTTCCCCAGCTCCCTAGCACTCTACATTTCCTACTGGAATGGTTCAGTTAGAAGCAAAAATGTCTAAAAAGCAGCTAGGAAGTTGATATAGTGACACATGTCTTAGCTTTGACCCTGAGGAGAGAGCATTTTGGAATTTTGCCTCCCCTTTTCCTCCTCCTTTCTCTCCTCCCCCGCCCCCATACTGTGGTTTGAACACATGATCTTACAATTGCTACACAGGCACTCTGCCACTTGAGCCATGCCCACAGTCCTTTTTTGCTTTGTTTTTCAGATAGCATCTCCTTTTTGCCCAGGGCCAGCCTCAGACTATGAGTCTCCTACTGATGGCCTTCAGCATAGCTGGGGACCACTGGCATGTACCACCAGACCAGCTTATTTGTTGGGATGGGGTCTCACTAACATTTTGCTTGGCCTGGCGTGGCTTCAAACTTCAATCCTCCTGATCTCTGCCTCCCAAATAACTGGGATTTAGGAGCTACTACTCTTGGCCCTCTGGGTATTTTCTGTCATTATTGTTTACAAAGCTGCCTAACAGTCTAGAAAAGAGTCTGATCCTGTAAGTCTAAGTCTGGTGTAGACTGCATTCCCACAGTTGAGCCAAGTATAGCCTTACTAACGGGGAGTTGCTTCTACCTGCTTTCTGTGAAGTTCTGAGCTTAGCTGTCACTACCAGCCAATTGGAGAGCTTTTATCTTAGTTTTCATCCCCATTAATTCTCTGCTGCTCAAGAAGGGCCTGGTTGGAGGAAGTAAGTCACTGGGGGTATGCCTTTGAAGGGTATATCTTGTCCTGGCTCCTTCATGACTATGCTTCCTGGCTACTGTGAAGTGAGTAGCTAAGCCCCACTATTTCCTCTCTGCCATAATGCCATGCCTTACCACAGGCCCATAGCTAAAGGATCAACTGAGCATGGACCAAAACCTCTGAGACTGTGAGCCAACATAAGTCTCTCCTCCTCTAAATTGTTTTTCTCAAGTATTTTGTTGTAGCAATAAAGGACTGATTAACACACTTCCCTATCCATTGCACCCCTTTGCAGTGTGAGTTTGTAGTTCTTTGTAGTGGAATCTGTTTTCCTTCTTTATAATCTGGGTGTAGCCAATGTGACTTCTTTAACCTAATGGCCAGTTGCAAATTTGATGTGATCAAAGGCTTGAAAAATATTTGTGCATTGGGACTTGCCCTCTTTTCTTGCTGTGAACTCTTCTGCCAGTAAAAGAAGGCTAGAGACCATTTAGGACAGAGAGGAGCTTCCCTAGCTGACATCCACAAGACATACTAGCCTGCCTATTACCAGATATGGAATGAAGCCAGTTTAAACCATCCAACAAACAACCAAACTGAAAGCAGAGATAAGTTTAGCCCAAATCAAGAGAACTACCACTTGACCTGAAGAATGGCGATAAAAAATACACTTTTTATCTGCAGCCTAAAGTTAGAAGTTAATAGTATAAGATTTGCAAATGATAGGGGGAGAAGAAAAGAATTGTATTCTAAGGCATCCATTTGGTATGTTACAAGGAAACAATGTCTAATAACCTACATCCTTTTTGAGAAAAATATTGGAGGAAGTACTACAGCCAAGTGAGAGGTAAGAAAGTTCAAGATAGGGTTATATGGGTAGGTTTCTTAGTTGCAAGCAAAATAAACTGATTTTGCTGGTTTGAACAGAAAGGGAATTTATTGAGAGGGTAACAAGTAACTCACAGAATTGCTCAGAAATCTCAAAAATAAGGCTTAGAAAAAGTAGAATTTGAATAATGCAAAGTTGTTTAGATAGATATCATAGAATGGTTTACTCTGTTTACCCTGTGATACAAATTGTCTTCACATTCCCTTGGAGTATTTATAAGCACAAATCACCAGCAACAGAAAACATGGGACCACCTAAAAGAGAAGAGACACAGACCCTACCCCCTAAGTACAGTGCAATAAAACTAGAAATTAGCCACAAAAGGATATCTGTTTTCTCCAACCCTATTCTCAGCACTTGGAAATTTAACTGAAGAATTATTTTTAAAAGTACTTTTTACACTGAAGATTGAACCCAGAGCCTTGCACATGCTAGGCATGTACTCTACCAACTTGCTACACCCCAAGCTCCATTTAGAAAGTATTTTTAAAGAGGTACTTAAAATTAATTTATAGGTTATATAGAAAAATATGACAATAGGTACACAATAAGTCAGAACCTTTGGCATATAACCAAGATATTTCTTAGAAGAAAATCTATAGTTTTGAAATGTTTTCCAAATACGTTTTTTATTCTTTCCTGATTTAAGCATCCTGCTCAAAGTAGCTCCAGACTTGATAATTCTTTCAAGCTTCCAAGGAGAAACAGACAAATGTTTATGCTATTTTAAATTGTTCTCAATCAATTGATTAGGGTAGAAAGCTTCCCATCTCATTCATTCCACTAGGGGTAGGATTACTATAGTGCCAACACTGAACAAAGAATATGTGTGTACATGTCCAAACATACATGAAACTTTAGCTTCATTTAGAACCATTGATTTAACAAAACTTTGAAAAATGAAATCCAGCAATGAATGTATTTCAAAAAAGAATCCTTTTTTCCCCCCTATGGTGAAGGATGATGATAATGAAGAAAGGTATGTGTGTGGTGACAAGAGTTTAGGGGAACTCTGTACTTTCTCTTCAGATTTGCTGAGAACCAAAACTACTCTCAAAAATAAAGTTTATTACTTAAAATAATAATACTTTATAACCAGCTAAGATTGACTTAGAAATGCCACAATGTTTCACTGATTTCAATACCAATAAATCTCATAATTTACTAACAAGCTATAGGAGAAACAAACTTAAAATCATAGCAGTAGATGCTACAGGCACTTTTGTGATTTTAGTATCTACTCCTAATATTTAAAAAAATTAAAAAGTCTCAAAACAGTTTCTGATGAAGTATTATTTCTCTGGTGGAACAGAAGTGTACAGATGTAGCACTTTTCACCATGAGAGTCAGCATGCCATGTCATTAAGTCAGTGTATTTTTACAAAGAAGATGGAAATGCTAGTTGGTTATCAGGCATTAGTGATGCGAGCCTTTGTGGTATAAATATAAAAACACAAAACTCATAATCTGAAGACAACATGAACTTGAAACAGGAAAAGAAATCCAACTCTTAGAGAGAAAGAAAGCCTGTCACAGAATTATACTAAAAATCAGCAAAACAAAAAAAGTAAAATAGCTAGGAAAAGACTGAATGGGAAATATATAAAGTTTATATGAGAAATTGTGTGTTTGCATTGCAGATTGTAACAGAAATCTAAATGTCATGAATAAGTTTATGTCAGAATAAATTTAGTAATTTTTTTTGGTAGTACTGGAATTTGAACTCAGGGTCTTACACATATGTCATGTTCTAAAATGGAGTTCCTCTATATTGCAGAAGTTACCTGTCCCCAATGCCATCCAAAAGTTCACTACAATCCTAATTGAAATCATATTAATTTTTAAATTTTTAAATTTATTTGTAAGAGAAAATGCCTAACAATAGCCAGGAAAAGTTTTTTAAAAACATTGAAGGGGGTTTTCTCTTCAATAATACAAAGTCAAACACAAGACATTCTAATGTTGGAACAAGAATAGACATATCATTGGAACAGAAAAGGATCCATTTATGAAATTCTGTCAAATTTTCCCAAATTTATGCTTTGTCTTCAACATATATTTGTTTTTGTTGTTTTGAGATAGGATCTCATTGTGTAGCCCAGACTGGCCTTGAACTCGCAATCCTCCTGCCTCATCCTCCCAAATACTGGCATATATATTTGGTTTTTCTAAAATAATTTTTTCTGTTTTTGTGTGTTTGGGGTTTTTGTTTGTTTCATTTTGTTTTTCCTGTGTTTAGGTATAAGTGTGCTTGCAGAGTGTCTGGACTGTCCTGAATTGAAAGCAACAGCAGATGACTTTATTCATCAGCATTTTACTGAAGTTTACAAAACTGATGAATTTCTACAACTTGATGTCAAACGAGTAACACATCTTCTCAACCAGGACACTCTGACTGTGAGAGCAGAGGATCAGGTGACTAAATTGCCTTTCTGTTTTTCTTAGTAAAAATTTATTTTTGACTTTTTATACTTGATGTTTGGATACATGACAAGGAAAAGTCATATTAGGAGAGAATGTTCTTTACAATCAGTACAGTGTTACAAGGCCTGTTTCATAGGAAAAGTAAATCTTGGGTACTTGAGAGGCCACTTAGTAGAGATACATCTACTGGGTACTATGATAAACAGAACAGTGCTTCCCCAAATGGCCACATTCTAATCCTCTGAGCCTATGAATATGCTACCTTACATGGCACAGGGGATCTTTGAGGGTATGATTAAGGACCTTCAAATGAGGTGATTATTCATGTGGGTCCAAATATAATCCTAAGGCTCCTTAAACTTTCAAGAGAGATACAATGTGCAAAAGAGTTGACTAGCCATTGCTTAAATGTAGGCAGGAAGTAGTTGCTGGAAAAGGTAAGGAAATAGTTTATCCTATCCAGCCTCCGGGTGGCCTGCCAGCACCTTGATTTTAGCCCAGTGTAAACTATTTACACTCTGACTGCCGAAGCCGTCAGACAAACTGTCAGAAGTATAAACTGCCTGCAGATATTTGGAATATGGGTTGGGGAATACTTTTGTATGAAGAGTCCCAAAATCCTTATTTTCAGCCCCACATCCATCTCTAAATTTTAAGGTTCTAAGTCTGTGGTAATTTGTTATAGCAGCATTACAAAGCTAGTATACTAAGATACTATAAGAGCACATGCTTTGAGTTGTTTTTGCTCTAAAAGTAAAAGGTTAGCAATAAGCCATGTTCTTTTGCCCTGTGTTCTTCATGGCCCAGGTATGAATTAGCAAGTTGATTGTTTGAACCTGGAGGATCTGACTAGTCAAAAGCAAAAATCTCAGTTCTGTACAACAGGGAGAATGATGTGTCTTAAGTCCCATCTACCCAGGAGGCTGAGGTGGGAGGATCACTTTAGCCCAAGAGTCAGGGCAATATAGTGAGCACTTTCTCAAAAAAAACAAAACCAAAAATATCCTTAGTTCTGTGATCGAAATTAGCTGGCTTACATGCAAAGAAAGAAAAAGTAACTTTATACTGAAGAAAACTGACCTACCTCAGGAGGTCAAGGTTGATATCATCAGTGATAAGTCATATTGGTTGCTTGCACTCTTGATATAATGGGAATATGCACATCACCATCCTCCAAAAAAACGTAAACGCTAGTCTAATCAATAAAACTTCAGACAAACCCAAATTGAGGGACAGTCTCCAAAATACCTGACCAGAACTCTGTAACCTGTTAAGGTAATCAAAAACAAAGGAACTCTGAGAAACTCCATAGTCTAGAATAGCCTAAGATGACTAGAATAGAATAGCCTAAGGTGACTTAGTGACTAAGTGTAATATGGTATCTTTTATGGGATCATGGTACCGAAAAATCACATTAGATAAAAACTAAGAAATCCAAAGGAATGTGGGGACCTCAGTTAATGTATCAGTATTGGTTCATTAGTTGTAACAAGTATATCAGAAGATACATCTTAACAACTGGGTAAAGAGTATATGGGAAAACTGTACTGTCTTTGTAACTTTCCTGTAAATATGAAACTGTTCTAAAAAGGTCTCTTTTTTAAAAATACCAATTCAACTCGTAACAAGATGGGCCTTATTAATACCACCCCGAAATTAATTTACCTGGCTCAAATGTGTGTGTAGTAGACAAGTATGTATATGAAATAATAAATTTATTTTCAGGGTGTTTAATGATTTATAAGTTAAATTACGTTAATGAACTTGGACTTGTTCAGCGCAGTTAAATGAATGCTACAGTATTATTTTAGAAAATACTTCTTATATATATTTCCTATAGTTTATTTAATATAGAATTTTTATATCTTAAATTTCCTAGAAAGCAGACAAGTCTATCTTGGGAACCTATTTTCCTGATACTGAGCATATATTAGAACTACCATTGACCAATAGACTTCTTTCAGTATGATGTATTTTCTTCCCCCAAAAAAGCTGTATTTTTTTTAAATAATAAATTTAATCACCTCCCATAATTACATTTTGTAATAGTACTTACTTCTAAAAAAAAAAAAAAATCACCTACAAGACTTAGTAGAGCAGTACACAGACTTTGAGGTGTGACTTGAGCGGTAGAGCACCTGCTTTGCAAGTGCAAAGCCCTGAGTTCAAACCCCAGGCCCACCAAAAAAATACAAGACAAAAGTAGAGCAGAATGTAAACCATTCGAAGTACAGTCAAGTATTTTGGTGTGAAAGCAAATACCTGATAAAATATTAGGGATAAGGGTTGTTTCCTTATGAGGTTCTTCCTCTTCAATGTGAGAGTAAACATAGGTAATTGGAATATTCTTGCCATGTAAGAACTTTACTATGCTGTTTTTCCCCCTTAGGTTTATGATGCTGCAGTCAGGTGGTTGAAATATGATGAACCTAATCGCCAGCCATTTATGGTTGATATCCTTGCTAAAGTCAGGTTTCCTCTTATATCAAAGAATTTCTTAAGTAAAACGGTACAAGCTGAACCACTTATTCAAGACAATCCTGAATGCCTTAAGATGGTGATAAGTAAGTTGCCTTAATGTCCGTTTATACCCTGATCTTTTGCCAGTTTCTCTTGGGCTTAAACTCATTAGGATCAGACTCAGTAGCCAGGACAAAACATTCAAGACTTTGTCCTTCTAGATAATTAATCCCTTGGGTTCTCAGTACCCTTTAAGAGACTTAGCCTCAGTCTTTATAGGGATTTATGTGACAGAAGGTGAAATTATTTAGTCTTTTTCTACTTTTGTATACAATAGCTTTCATGTACTTTGTTCCTACTGTTTCCTTTTTTATTGTACTTAGCCAAGCAATGTATTGTCGTTACCTTTTTTTCTTTGTGGTACTGGAGACTGCTAGGCAAGTGTGCTACCACTTGATCCATGTCCCTAGTCCCATCACATTTTCTTTCCTAAACAACTTTGCTTTTAGTTTTGTTGTTGTTTTTGCCTGGAGCTCATAATTCCTAAATTTGGCCGCTTAAGTGATAGAGCACTTTGTAGCTTGCGGGAGGCCCTAGGTTCTATCCCCAGTGCCACAGGAAAAAAAAGTTCTGATTGTTTTCATTTCCTTTGATTTTTTTCAACTTGCAGGGTAAGTCCCAAGCCTTCAATGCCTTTGTAAAATGCCATTTAATAAACTTGTCTGTGCAAATAACGTGCGGCTTTTATTTCTTGAAAACATCCCTTTTAGAGCCTTCCTTCTGCCTATCCCAATATAGACTGTTTGCTGTGTAGGCCAGTGGCACAGGTCTTATCCTGACGCTTTCCTTCACCATCTTGGGAAGTCCTCTCACTCCTATGTTAAATTAATTCTTTTCTGAATCCCAGGTTTATACTCTCCTCCCCCCATTATCTGTTTTTTGAGACATGGTCTTGCTATGTAGCACAGGCTGGCTCCAAACTCTCAACCCTCCTGACTCAGTTTCCTGAGTACTAGTATTACAGGCATATACCACCATACCTGGCTCCCCCTTTCTTAATTCTATTTGGAGCACATCTTCTAAAAGGTTCCTAATGAAGTGTATATAGCCAGTAAATATTGGAGACTTGACAAATCTCATGTTTAGTTTTTTTATAAATCATTGAAGGATAGTTTAAGTATATATAAAATTATATTGAAAATCATTTTCAGTTAGAATTTTGAAGGCATCACTCCATAATCTTCAGGCTTCCCATGTTACTTATGAAAAGTCTATTGCCCTTTTCTTTCTTGTTCCTCTCTTGTTAAGTATTTAATCCCTTTTTTGCTTTAATCCCTGGTGTTTTAAAAAGTTTAAAGTAATGTATGTGCATTTCTAAAAAAATCTCCTGGGCCTCCTCTTATCTTTTCAGCCATAAGTTTCTCTGTTTTTTTAATTATGCTGTGATTCTTCAGCCATTAGCTAATCTTTTTGTTTCTCCTATTTTCATCTTTGTCTCTCAGTGCTCTTCTGAGAACTAGCCTTGATTTTTCTTTTAAACTTTTATTTCAGATAGTATTTTTAATTTCTCAAGTTTCTACTTTTTCTCTTAATTTCTTATTTCGTGACTGAAATATCTTAGTACTCCAAAGTAGTCACTATTTTGCCTCTGAAGTTTTCCTGTGTGTTCTGTATTTTCTATATTAACTTTGAATTTTCTTTTCCTATTTTTATTGTTGGAAGGTTTTCTTAAATGTATGGTTTTATCTATGAATCACTTAAGAATGAGCATTACAAAATTGATAGATAAGGCTGTATGTGAGCAGGCATCTCACTTCTTGGGTTGAACTATAAGGTAATAAGAGTAGCCAGGCAATTTTTTAATTGGGAGCCCCTAAATATCAGTATCTGCAGGTATTTTCTCAAGTGGGTATAAGTTGGGTGTAGGCATTTGGGTGTTGGGAGAGGGGACTTTTTTTTTCCCCCCACTTAATCCCTGTATCTCTAATTATGACCCTTCCCAAGGATCTGTAGAGTAATTGGACTTGCTCTTCATTATAAAAACTCATCTAGGTGCAAGACACTCTCCATTTGCTAGTCTTTATAATTGTGTTTTGGTTTATAAGTCTCTTTTTATCAAAAGTAGAGTTTGTGTTTGTTTCTTATGCTCTTGGTGTTTGCTTCTTATGCTCTTGGTGTTTGCAACAGTTTTTAAGACAAGAGAAAGTTCTTAAAATATCAAGTCTAATTTCATGGTTATACATCATTAAGTCTGAACAGGTTTTTTCTGTGTAATGTCTGGTTTTAGTGATGTGATTACAAAGGTCTCATGGCCCTTCTGCCTCAGACTCCCAAGTATTGGGATTGCAGATATGTGTGATCACATCCAGTGGAAAAATAATTTTAATTACCTAAATTTTCCCCTTCTCCATTTGTGGATTTTATGTTTTCTTCCATTAAGACTTACATCCTACCAAAATTTATTGTTATTCAATGCCATTATTGAATTAGTTCATCTTTTCCCACTAATTTTAAACATGTTAACCAAATATCCATACAGCTGTATATACACACATAGTTTCTTTTCATTTTACTCAGGTATCTTCCTTTAATTATCGCTGTACTTCATTTAAAGTGTAATATGTCTGTAAATTTGTTTTCATTTTCTAATTTCTGTATTAACTTTTGTTTTATTATGAATTGTCTTTTTCCTTTTGTTTTTTATATATTAGCCTGGTCATTTCTTGTGGTCTTTTCCCCTTGCTCATATTTTCAGTTCTTCCTTTATTTAAACATGTTAAATATAGGTATTTTATGCTTTGTGTTTGGTAATACCAATACCTGAAGTCTCTGAAGACCACATGCTCTATTTGTTGGTTCTCTTAACTTATTCCTGGTGGTTTAATTCCTTTAGAAATTCATAATTTTGGATTGCTTGTTTTATATTTGATCTTAATCTGTAGGAATGTTGAGAGGCTTGGCTGTGTTCCTGCGGATCTTTCTTTGTTGTCCTTCAGAGAATAGTATTTGTTCTTGCCATGTTCCCTAGGGTACAACAATCTAGGCCTACTTTGAATTTTTCCTGGCTTACAGCTTTTCAGACTTTCAGGTAGGGAAAATTCAAACCTCAGACCAGGGATTTGAGGGCTATGTTCATAACTGCTCAAAAAGAGAGGTTTCCTCCACCTGAAGCTGAAGTTGAAACAGGCAAGTTACTATTTCTCCCTTTGCTCTCAGGCAGATAATTTTTCTTAGCTTATCTTTCACTAAAGTGTAACTACTGATCCAAGCAATCTAGCTTCAGGTGGAGATCTCAGTTCCATTCCTGCACTCTCATACAGCCAATCAAAAACAGTTTCTATGTTTCTAGTACCAAAAGCCTTCAGAATAGCTTCGGAGTCTCTCAATAGTTAACATTCTAGTGTCCAATTTCATCTTTATTTTCAGTCCTCTTATTTTAGGATCTTAGCTGTTCTTTCAAAAAGATGTTTATTCTTTCTAGCACTTACAGTTATTTTGTAGGAAGAAAGTAGTTTTTCTGGTACTAGATGTTGAACTCAGGCCTCATGCTTGCTAGACAAGTGTTCTGCCACTTAAGCCTTACCCCCAGTCCTTTTATTTTTCAGATAGTCTCATGTTTTTTCATAGGCCAGCCTCAGACTGTGATCTTCCTACCTCTGCCTTGAGTATTTGGGATTACAGCTGTGTACCACCATGCCCAGCTTGTTTTTCAGGTAGGGTCTTGCTTACTTTTGTTTGGGCTGGCCTCAAATTACTATCTTGCTACCTCTGCCTCCTGAATAGCTGAGATTATAGGTATATGCTATCATACCTGGCTACAAGAAGGTATTTCTGAAAGTAGAGTCTGTCATTCTCCTGTAAGTAAGTTTAGAGTATTATTTAAACAGGCACAAAATATGTAGTTTACTAGTATAATGACTGATATGCTTAGTTGTGTATACTCCTGCTAACTCTTAAAGGCTCCTAAATTCCCTTCCATTTTAAGTCAGAAATCACAAGGTCAGTTATGCACAAATGGGGCAGCATAACAGATTTCAATTTGCATATGATAAGCAAGAAAGCCTCTCAGAAGGTAGTTGGCACCCACTTTGAATCCTTAAGTTGTTTTTGCTGCTTTGTTTGGTTGATTCATTTAAGGTGTAGCTAGTTTCTGGCATAAAGTTAGGAGACTAGATAAAGGAGAAATTAGCACTTTTATTCCTGCCTAAAATTTCCTCAATAGTGGTGATCTTTGAGTGTTCAAATTATTAGATAATTTCTTCCTTGATTTTAAAGCCTAATATAACATAAGTTAGTTTTACTTCCATTTAGACTTAGCACACAGCTGCTACTTAATGCTGTTGTGTGGCAGATAGGTAAGCCAACCATTTGTCTCTAGATTGGAAAGTGTTATGATATATCCATATAATGAAATACTCTAGAGTTACTAAACACGTTTTACATGAATATCTAATAAACTTTTTCATCAGTGGCAAGAGCATAAAACAGTTACGGTTTGTGTTTTGTTAAATGAAAAATAATTTTTAAACACCAGGAGCATTTGACCAGTATGGTTGTCAAGGGAAAAAGAGAAGAATGTATGAGTGAAGGGCACATCATTCTGAATATCTACTTTTAAGGGATGGGACAAAAAGACCAGGAAAGATGAATTCACAAATCAAAGTCTGGCGTCTTGAAAGCCAAGGTGTAGTAGTGAGTGTGAAGTAGAAGGCAGGTGACCACTAGTCCCTTTAAATAAAAAGAGATGGAAGAAAATCACCAAGAAAATTCCTTTAGGTTTGGACTTCTATCTATTGGAGCCATACATCTGTTTTTCTTTCATTTTTTTGTCATACTGGGGTTTGACCCTTTACCACTTGAGCCATGCCTCCAGCCCTAGGATGGCATACACCTTAATATGAGGGGTTTTTCTTGTTTGTTTTTTTCTCCACTTGCAAACTGTGTCTTATTTTTCTGGCTTTTTACTGGTAGAGAGCCACACTATTTCTTCAGCTGCTAAAGACAACAAAGTTCAGAGCATTTAGTTCTTATGTGAATTCTGAATTGATTTAGAAACAGGATAGCAGAATTGTTTGAGAAATTCAACCAAGTATGGAGATTAGATTCTTTAGCAGAAAGTTTTGTGTTTTGGTTTTCTTTCCTTCCTTCCTTCCTTCTGTTCTTTCTTTTCTTTTTCTTTTTTTTGTAGTATTAGTACTGGAGATTAAACCCAGCCTTGCTCATGCTAGGCCAGTGCTCTGCCACTTGGACCATGCTCCCAGCCCTTTTGTTTGTATTCCTTTTTAAATACAGTCTCACTTGTCAGATTGATCTCCAACTCAAGATCCTTCCGCCTGAGTAGCCAGGATTACAGGCATGGACCACCACACCAAGCTTGTTTTTTAGTTTCTTTAATTTAACAGACTTATTATATTTTTTTCTTTGGGGTCTGGACAGAGCTAACTGGGGAAAAGAAGCTTGCAGTCTCTCTTCTTCAGACATCAGTTGTCTTCTTACTGCCTGACTTTTGTGCCTTGTCAGGGAGAGAAAAAAACAGAAAAAGATGATAAAAATAGATTAAGACGAAGCCAAAATAATTTTGACTAAAAGAAAATGAGTCACAAAATAAAGTACACAGTCAAAATCCTTAGAAAGGGCCAAGCCAAGTTCTTACTCAAAATTTACAAATGATAACACCTACTGCTAGAAGGAATAACTCCTAAAGAAAGAAACCTAAGGAGTAGCGGGCTTCTCAAGGAAAGGTGCCAGTTCTCTCCTTAGAAGGGGAGAAAAAAAAATTGTATTAGTGAAGGAGCGCCGTTCATGCTTTCTCTGGGGTGAGTAATGTTGGCCCTGTCAGCCACTTTTTACCTAGTGGCCTGTTGCCTGTCTCTCTCCTCGCCTACCTGTCTCTTTCTGGGAGTATTGTGTTCATGGACTGCACAAGCCACCTTCAGTGTGTGTAAAACCCTCTTGGAGCAGTGCCACTCAAACCACAGTGTTTCAGGTTCAGAAGGTTTGAGCTAGCATCCACTTGTTTGGATTTTTAACATGTTTCAGGTAATGCTGATACAGCTATATATAGGCTAAATCTGGCCTTCATCCTAAGTAGTTTTCACAGCAATGAAGGATTGTAGAAAACAGTATTCCACTGAAACCAAATGTGGCAAAGCCTAAGGTATTTATTTACTCTTTGCCTTTTATAGAAAAAGTTTACCAATCCCTGACCTGGAACAGGCTCCAGATCCACAGCCTAGGCCTCCCAGGTTTCTAGTTAGTATTACACACAAGTGCTTCTACTCAACTCTGAAGCGAAAGGAAATGAATGACTTTCATTCATTCACAAGTATTCTCCAAACATGTCAGGCATATTTTCATATGTTTAAGAATTGTTTGTACTTCTTTTTCTGTGAACTGTATTCAGGTACTCCATCTAATTTTCTGTTAAGTTGCTGGTCGTAATCTTATTAATTAATAAAGTATATTTTAAAATTATAAACATTTTCCTAGCTGTCTCTGTCTTTTGATTCCATCTTTTTTGCCATGAAGTAACTCAAAATTTTATTTAGTTGTCTGAACATTTTTTCATGACTTTTTTTTTTTGGTCCTTTTTAGGCTTCTGCATTCTGGGCCTGTTTTTTTTTGTTTTTTTTTTTTTATAATGACACTATTTTTCTTTTAGTGCTTTTATGAGATTTTTTGCATATTCTAATTTGTATTGATTTGGAATTTAGAGTGAAATTTTTTTTCTATGTTGTTTTATAACATTGACAAATGATCCATTTTTTCCCACAATGATTTGAGATGACACCTTAAACAGTTTTGGTTGTTAAGTGGCCCTTGATGAAATTAAGGAAGTGCTGCAGGAAAAAGATTATATTAGATTGCAGTAATTGAATCCTCATTGCATTTGAGTGTCATATAAGACAATGCTTCTCAAAGTTTCATGTACATCTGAATTACCTTGGGATTTTGTTAAATATGCAGAAACTGACTCAGCAGGTGTTTGGTGGGGCCTGAGATTCAGACCCAAAGAGCTACTGCTCTTGAACCACATTTTAAATGAGAAGTATTAAGGGGCTCTTAAAAATACCAATGCCTGGGCCCTAACACCAGAGGTTTTCATCGGTCTGTGGTAGGACTCAGGCATACATAGTTTCAGATTCCCCAGTTGATTCTAATGTATAGTTAAGATCAAGAGCCTATTGTGGTGGCACATTCTTATCGTCCCAGAACTCAGAAGGCTGAGACAGGAGGATCATGAGTTTGAGGCCAGCCTAGGTTGCAAAGTGAGTTTAAGGCCAACCCAGGTTACATAGTGAGATAGTGAGACACTGTCTCAAAAAAGGAAAGAAGAAAGATTGAGAACCACTGGGTTAGGAGATCTGGATCTCAACAATTATTATTTTGACAACTATTGGTTGAGGAACCAGGTGGTTGACTCGTGTATAATAAGTGGGTGGTGCAGTCTTGGAATGTTGATTGCCAAGAATAATAAATTGGTTAGGGTACAGGTTCTTCCACATCTCACCTGCCTCCCCCCCCACACACACACACTTTCCTCAAGCAATAGAAGGGATGATAAAGTTACATAAATAAATGCATTGTTATGTCTGGGAATTTCCTTTCAGAGCTTCACATTGGTGCCTGAAGTTGTTAAAAAGAGTTGCCACATATTTTTCTACAGGTGGAATGAGGTACCATCTGTTATCTCCAGAGGATCGAGAAGAACTTGTAGATGGCACAAGGCCTAGAAGAAAAAAACATGATTACCGAATAGCCCTATTTGGAGGCTCCCAACCACAGTCTTGTAGATATTTTAACCCAAAGGTAACAAATTTTTATTTTCACTTTGTTTTTGAAAGCACTGAGCACATACTCACCTACCCAACCTAGTAATAGTGCCTTTAGAGATGTTAGTCTTTGCTGTTCTTTCACATACCTTATGAGATACAGTTATCATGTTTGTTTTACAGATAAGAAAACTGAGACTTAGATTTCAACTGTTCCACAATTGTTCTGGAAAGCTTTATAGTAAATAAATTAGGAAGTTAGCAAATAAGTTAGGAAGTTACCAGATGTGATGGCACACACCTTAAATCCCAGTTACTTGTGAGGTGGAAGCAGAAAAATCAGACTTAGAGGCTAGCAAGGACAAAGTTAGCAAGCTCCATCTCAAAAACAAAAGGGATAGGGGCATGGCTCAAATGGTAGAGTACTTACATACAAGGGAGAGGCCCTGGTGTCAATCTCCAGTACCATCAAAACAAAAGACAGGGGGGGCGGGAATAGGAGCTAATTCTCTTATCTTTTCCTTTGTTAGCAAGTCCTTACATTATTCTTACTCCTTGCCTTCATTATATGCCATTTTCAATGAAAATGCTTCTGCTTCTAGAGTTAGATATATTTTCTTTTAGTCATTCTAGACAATTTGGAAAACCTAAAAAATCACACAGAAAAAAGATAAAATGACCTTTAATTCAATTATCTAGAAACAATGACCAGTTTTAGTATATTTTCTGGTACATATTTTACTAATTGGGCTAGCACAGTCTGAATCATAGGTCTAGGTACATACACAATTTTAAAAAAATAGATCATTAATTATAACCTTGAGAGTCCACTAACATTTCTACCTCTTGTTTCTTAGTCAGATGTGTTTTGGCTGTGAAGGAAATAATGCCTTGTTTTTCTGATACTACATGTATTTCTTAGGCAGAAGAAATATCACAATCCTAAAAGATAACACCCAAAAACTTGCAAGGTGGTATCCATAACTCATGTAGAATCTGAGCACATAATGATCTTTCATTGTTAATGGTAAGCCCATCTTTGAATGATAAGTACCTGATGAGACCAGAGCATCTTGTTGACATTAGGATGGATACTTGATTATTACTTCTTTAGGTCCTTGGAGTCATTGTGTGTATAATGTAGTGATATACAAGGTATTTATAAAAACACATGGTGATGTAAAAAGTTCAGAAGATAGAAAAGGCCAGTCTAAATCCATATTATCAACTTCCATAAAGACAAAGTGTTGTCTCTATGCTAATGGATGGGCCCGAATGTAGTTAGCCTTTTATTAGGTTCCCTCAAAGTATGGTAACACCTTAACGACTTAGAACTATGTCAACACTGGTCAGCAGTAAGTAGCCACATTGGCTTAGGAAGCTTGACCTTCTCTAACTACTGTCATAGGCAGCCTCATCAGTGCCATCGTGAGCACTCATAAGCAAGCATCAGGTTGACTGGGGAGAGAAGACATAGATGCAGTTCTGTACACAAGAGACTTTTTTTGCATTGGTGACGCTGTAGTAAGAATTCATGTGAGACAAAATTTGTGTGTCCTTCCACCAGCTTACTCAAATCTCCTGTCAACAGTCTTGCATCCTTGTTTATTTCAAGTCTCTATCCATCTGAGTAAATTATTAGCAATGTTCCAAAATTGATAAAAAAGTGACTAGGCTTTCTCTCCTAAAGATATGGACAATAACATGAATTACTTGAAATTCTGCCAATTAGAAATACTTTCCTTATGTATTGTCCTTCATTATAATTCCTAAAAGGGCTGCACTGTTTTGGCAGCTCATTATTGGCTATCACTATAAAAAATGAACCTCACTCAGGTCTCTCAAGTTTATCAGCTGATATATAGGTAATACCTTCATGAAGGCATAGTTCTGGTTGAAATGGGGAGGTGGTGAGTTAAGTGAAGGGCTACTGACTAAGGGTTGTGATTAGCCTATTTGGATATTTTGTGCCTTTGAAACCTACATAAGCTCAATTTTGTGTTTACTTGCCATGTAATTGGTTGAAGGCAAACAATTTTGTTACATAGATCAAATTAAACTGTTCTAGATGGGTTAATGATATGGTCATCTGGTTTCCCTTGGTCTGTTAGACATTGCTTTCTGTCAGAATCTAGTGGTAAGCCAGGAACTATCAAAGACTGGAACCTCTGAAGCTTGATGCTCCAAGGTCACAGGGTACTACCATAGAATGCTTTCTCCTGGTCTAGGGTTTACTTATAACTGATAACTTTTTGGGTTGCACAGTAAAACTAGGACATCCAAATATAGGACATGTTCCATCTCTAATATGTAAGAGATGCTTGGGACAGCAAGCTGTCCTTCAATTCCAATGGGTTATACCAATGTGCTGTAGGTCGGGTTGGGAAACATTTTCTATAAAGGGTCAGTAAATATTTTCATCTTTGCAGACCATCTGTTCTCTGGCCCAGCTACTCCATTCTCATACCATACAGGGTATGAGAAGGAAAGTAGCCATAGACAATACATAAACTAGTGGGCCTGGTTGTGTGCCAATAAAACTTTATTTATAAAAATAGATGCTAGACTGGATTTAGCTTTCAGGCTATAGTTTGCTAATTTCTGTTCTAGCCCTGTGGACAAATAGAGACTTTAAGGCAATAAACATTGTATTCTGGGCTGGCTTATTTTCTGTCTTTACTAAGACATACAGAATCCTTTCCATGTTTGCTCTAGAACTGATCAGCATTATAGGTATCAACAAAGGAAACTAGCCTGTGACTACCCTTTGGAAGGTGAGCTGGTCCAGGGTCACTGCAGCTTACATTATGGCATAAAGCCAAAGAGTCAAGAGATTCTTGAGGTCAGCTCATGATGTTATTATCCTTAACAAGAAATTCCCTCTAATGAGGACACAGCAACAGAAATATGCCTTAGCCACAGTGTTGGCTATATACCAAGTTTTAGTGCTTACATTAATCTGGTCCGGTAAGAAGACCATGCATGTCTGGCCCTGCTGCAACAGTCACCAATATTGGCAGTTCCTCTATTTTGTAGAGAAGGAGACCTCCAACAGCTTCTCCTTATCATAACACTTACTACCATAACCCATAGAAAGTAATATGCTGTCAGATACCAAAAACACCTCCCCAAAAAGGGAAGTTAAGATTACCTTGGTTAATCATCATGATATTTGCGCTATCATTTTTGAGCTGCTGTTAGCTCCGATGTCTATTTCTGATCTGTTGCTCCAGAAAACAGACAATCGCTTCCTCAGTAGAAGACAGGTGGCTGGCAGGTGCCATGAGACCTCATGGCTTGTGCAGGACAATTCAATAAGCACAGTTTTCTCAGTGTGTTTAAAAGGTTGACACACTTTACACACCTATTTCACACTGAGTAAAGAAGGGTAATCCTGTTGAAATTTAAGTGCCAGTTTGTTTTTTAATTTTTCAGGATCCTTTTGAGTTAAGAGTAGGATAATGATAAACTTTTTTTCCAATTAAAAACTGAAGTCTTAGTAGTTTAAATTATAGTTCCACAAACTACTGCTTTCAGATATTAGTAATAGTTATACTCTGAAAGCCAAACTGTGGTATTAATTTTGACAGTGAAAAATTAAACCAAATTTTGGTAGAAAATATTTTATTTTAAAATAAATGTCTGTTTTGATGCACAGATAGGCCAGAAGAATCTTGATTTCATTTAGGAAGTGGGACCATTATTTCTAGAGTAAAGCAAATGAGGGATGACTTTAAGCACTTCATTTTTAGTCTTTAGTTCTAACATTTACCTTGTTTGTTTGTTTTTTATTGGACAGTTGAGAAGAGCCGCATATCCTATACAACCATGGTATTGACACTGTAACCTCAGAATTCTCACTGGATACCTTGCTTTGCTCTTATAAATTATCTATTCTTAATTGCTTTTCTGTATAGTCAACCACAAGTTTTAGACTTCCAGTGGAAAAATTCAAATAACTGAGGAATTAACCACTGATGAAAATATTCCATCGATTATGTTGTATTCCCTGAAGCTGACACTATTACAATCTCATTACAATATTTATTTAGAAGTGGTAGCTACTCTCTACTTTTTTGTTATAAAAATTCATCTTAAAAAACTTCTGTCATTTACCTATTTGTGTATAACATTTCAAAATTTAAAAATTAGTCCTTATTTATAATACTAAAATAGAAAAACTGATATAATTATAAATTATTATTTATCTTGGATCTCTCCAAGTGAATATTATTTCATTATTCATGTAAACTGCTTAATAAGAAGTCATGTATAGATAGGAGTTGATTTACTTTCAAATTCTTAAATTTAATATGTTCAGAAACAACTAAATGGGTTTCAATATTATTGAATGGGACCCATTTATGTGGATCCTGTACTAGCCAAAAGTGATGACCACTATCAATGAGTTGATCCCTTCAAAGAGGACAATTTAAGTAGTGTTATATAATTGAATTATCAGAATTAAGTCAGTATCCCTGCAAGCTATTGTCTTTAGCTATTCCTTGGCTATCAAGACAATTATTTGTATTAACTGATGATTGAAAAATGATAGCAAAGAAAATTTTAACTTTTTTCTTGAATGTAGATAGAAAAAAATAGGTTGCTATATTGAATTGAAATGCTATTTTCATTGTTATGTTCCTTTTATAAAGCTGTGAAGTCTTCCTTTCCTTATCTTGTACCTGTTTTTAAACCTGAAGTGCTTAGTGGTTGCTGAAAGAATTGTCTGTATTCAGTGTTCTATTTCTCTTAGTTTGGTGTTCTCAAATTGTAGCTTGGTAATGTCTTATGATTTTGATTCCTAAATAAAAGTTGACTTAATTGACCAGCTTTTATTTGGACTACTACTGACTTAGCATTTAGTAAGTACCTTGGCTGACTACTTCCATATGGTAAAGAAAGGGGAAGTCTATACTGCAGAAACAAAGGAACCCTACATACATCTGGCAAAAACAAACCAAGAGTGAGGACCAGAGCTTATAAATTACAAAGGTAGAAACCCATATGGAACCATCAAGATCAGAAGGTTTGTCC